GGATGAATTCCACATTTTTTCCTCTTTTTAAAAAATATTTTTCTTTTTTCCTTTTTTTTTTATTTTTCTCTCTTTATTTTTTTTATTTTCTTTTTTCTTTCTTTTTGTTTTTGAATTTTTTTCTCACTTTTTTCCCTTTTTTTCCTCAGATCTCTGAGAATGAATTGTGAGAGATGAGGGAGAGGGTTCTTTGTTTATATAGGCAAAATAGTTGTCACGACTTTGCGATGGAAACATATTCCGTCACACATTTGTGACTGTTTTGCAACCAGTCTATGACCTAAAAAAAGAGTTAGGTGAGAGTGACGTGGTGCTTATTTATCACGTGTCCAACTACTTTTCTGGCTGCCGACATAAATTGTGAGACGGAACAGCGATGCTTTACAATCGTCACAAATTTGCGATGGATGTACTACGATCGTAATTGGGTAAATAGCCAGTCATAATGTAGTCGTAAAAGATCGCAAATTTGTGACTACCTAAACCAACCGATTATTGGTCTTACTTCCGTCGTTAAATGGCGACGGGTTTACGACTGTATCAGTCCGTCGTAGTTTTGTGACGAGTTTGCTACGATATTTAGCGTAGTCACAAATCTGTCACGAAAACGTCACAAACGAGTCGCACATTTTTCGGACCAAAATAACAGTCACAAAAACTGTTTTTTTTGTAGTGCTTCTAATTAAAAATAAGAGTGTAAATATTATTTGGAACCAAATCTATTTGTAACTCACCGTATGTGGGCTTCTATGCACACTATTGATTCATAGGTTTCACCGTCATTTGACAGTCAAATCGCTATTTCATAAAAATAACTTATTGACTACCATTGTGTGCTAAGGAACATTTATATTCATGTGGTCTATCATCCATGATACAGTAACTCCTTTTTTTTGTATGTCATCTTTTACAAAACTGTTTAAGTTCATATATATTCAAAAACAAGTATACTTTTTTCATATAGTTCTTCATTGTAAGATTCATTATAATTTTTTTTTGGAATCCCAAAAACTTTCTAGACCCAAAGATTAATCCCATGAGGCATTGTATCCGAGTACGCATTCGAAAATATTTCAAATTTAAAGCGCGGCTAGATGGTCAAAAGAATTCGAACCCATGACTCTCTCACTTGGGAGTTACCACTGAGTTACGAGGCCTTCGTTAGATTCATTATAATGATCGAATGAATTAGCATTTGAAGTTCGATTATAATATATTGAAAGCTTTAAATTGTAAACAAAAAAGAATGGTAAGATGTCTTTGGTCGAAATGTATCAATTTAAACTTTTGATCTAACATTGTGTCATGTCCTTTTTATGATAAGAATCTTTTGTTAATAAGACTTTAGAGTTCAAACCAATGCATATATACAACATAAAATGTAACTTATGTGTTTGAGATTTTACAGCACAAATATGTCGTAATTATGAAAATATAAATATCTTGGGCTGTTCAAATTGATGAAACTTACTTTGATCAAAATGGAG